TGATGCAGTTCTTCAATTTTTCTGGTAAGGGGGCCTTCTTAACGCAGGGTTTTATATTGAAGTAGGCATTTTGCCGTTTTCTGATTTGATATTCTTATTGCATTGGAAGCAAAAAGACTTGATCATTGGGGGAAATATATTTATATGAACACAGTTGTTATTGCTTTCTCATTCAGAGAAGGATACATGAATTGATTGCGGATATTTATTTAGTTTTAGTTTAAAAGTTGTCATATCTTGCCCCTTTTAATCTCCTGTTTTCCATCTTATCTCCATTTTATTTGGGCATTTGAATGTATAAGCTTTGTTAAAAACCGCAGGAAATTTCTCAGACAAAAAAAGAAAGGAAAAAGAACAGCAGAGAAATAATTTTCCTTTCAACTTGATTAACAGAAAAAAGAAATGATTAACAGTGTGCTAGTGCAATTATCTTCAATTTATAACTACTGGAAAATTTACAATGTTTTGGTTTTATAAGAAGTAGCAGTGATCTCTAATTTTGATTCTATTTTACTTTAAAGTTTATTAAATATGTTTTTGACATGTGAAAGTATGTACCATTTATGGGTGCCCAATTCTGTATCTGAATTAGAAAATTGTCGAGAAATTCTGGGTTGATCTTGCTTAATCCAGTAATCTCGAAAAGAAATTTTATATTATATTATATATATATATTTTTTTTATAATTTTAAAAATTATACAAACATGTTTTAGTTATCCTATTTTTAAATTGATTTTATGGTAATTTCAAATTAAAATTAGGCTGGATCACATTTGTATGGTTCCGTTTGAATCTATTTTTAATTCAATGTACACTTTATATTATAATTTTATTTTCAAAAAATCAAATTTCAAACTCTAAAATTTTTCTTTTCGCCACTCCTTAAGATTGTATTTCATCTAATTCTAGTTGCTTATTCTTCTATTTAATTCTTTATATTGATTTTAACAATGGAATTATAATCTAATTTGGATGATAATCATAGTTTTATTCTTTTTAAAAAATTTTAAGAGTTAAAATTTAATTCCTGTAAATTAAAGATATGATTTAAGCTCATATCTTAAAAAAATTTGAAATGGGGATTAACGGAGAAATTAAAAATAAATATGTTTTACATTTATAAATTAGAAATGATATAAAATTTAAAAGTAACCTAAAAACAGTAGTGATATTTTAGGATTGAAAAATATTTTTCTTACTACACAATAACACAATTTAATTATATAAAATAACATTTATATCATGACAACAATCGAAAACACTTATTTAAAAATAAATATTCTAAATTATATAAACGTTAAAAGTAAATTAAACACAGTATAGAAAAGAATCATTGGCATGTTACGTTCACAATTAATTTGAATAGAGATTTACATAAAAATAACATTTAATATGACAGAGACCCAACTTAATATACGACAACATTATGTTTAAAAAATAAATAAATAAATAAATTGCTCGCGCACTCATTTTCTCCTTCCTGGCCTTTGCCCATTGATGTATTTGCAAAACACTGTCGTTTTGATTCGGTCGCGTCGCCTTTGAAAATGAATATTATAACATCACTTTTTATCACTGGATGAACGTGAGGTTCACAGAGAACGCTCGGACAACTCCCAGCTCGTCTGTGTTACTGAAATCTCTCTCTCTCTCTCTCTCTCTCTCTCTCTGTGCCTGCCTAAAATGCAAGTTCTTCATGCTCCATCATGGCCGTATCTTTCATATGAAGGAACAAAATCACAATCAAAGAGAGGTAATTCAATAAAGTTTCCCCATTCTTTCTTTGTTTTTTTTTTCCCCTAGACTTACCTATTTCAGTTGAAATTAAAAAGGAAATTTGTTCTATCTTTTCAGGATCACTCAACTCAGAGAAGTCTCTCCTGCTACCAGCTGTAAGATTCTCTCTACAGGCTCAGAAGCTTCAGAATTCTACGTGGCTATCGCGTAAACTGTCCGCTCTGACCTGCCTAGAGCTAAAGCTGCTTCTATCGAAGGTAGAGGATTATCTTAAGCACATTGTTATCATGCTGTGTGGGTGTGCGCGCGTGTGTTTTCGAGACTTTAAAATATATTATTTTTTGTTTAAGGTTCTTTGTTATATGAATGTATCTATTTTCTAAGTATCTATTTTCTAAAAGTTAAGTGTATGAGCCAAAATTTTGATGATCTTCAATAAATATTAATTGTTATTATAAATTTATAAAGATAAGCATTTATATTTTATACTTATAATATGCACACTTTTACATGTTTACATATATATATATATATATATACTCTAATATTATGTTTTATTGAATTTAAATTCGAAGTTACTCAAGTTTGAATCAAGCTTGGTAGGGCTAAATTTTTCAGGGGAGTTTGGATTTAACTTCGAGGTGATTTTAAGGTTTGAATTATTCAACTAACCCGAACTTGAATATCCAAATTTCTTGCTCGGTTGGGAACCATGAAAATTTGTGTTCAGTGTTTGGTTTTTTCATTCACAAATAAAATAACTGAGCATAAACAAGACATGATAAATTCATAAATTCACAAACTGAGGCACATACCACAAATTTTTGTCTTCCTGACCTTCTAAATCACAAATTATCATCTTTAAGTTTATATTTTTCTAAGAGAAATTAACCACCAGTAAAATGTCTTGGTTCTTTTAATAATGTAATGGTATTTGTTTATTGCTAATGTCTCCATCACTTGTGAATTGTGGCTGCCTGTTGGTGGGATTTGATCTTGAATATTCAGGAGATGTGAAACAGAATATTCTCTCTCTTTTGGGCATAGTTAATCATGGTTATGTATATTATGAACTAAAATGTGAGAATTCACTTTATAATAATATGCCTTTATAGAACAATATACTTGTAAGAGTAACCCATAGATCCAAATTTGCACAGGTAAATCCCTCCTAAAACTATTAATTCCATGCAGTGAGCCTAAGAGTGATGAATGAAGATCTTGGGATATTTATTTGCAAGTGAAGTTTGTTGATTGTTGAATTTCTTTTTTCTTATTTCTTTGCGATAAACGATAATATCCGCTAGATATGTGGTCATGAGAGTAGAACCTGAGAGTCGTTCAGAGAGACTGGGTAACCTTAGGCCAAAAAGCACTCAGTTTTATTTGTAGAGCTTTTCACAGTTACTGAAGTTATGGACATCAATAACATAGATACCTTTAATCATTAAATTCACATGTACTATCCTGGCCTCTGTTTTCTTGGGATGGAGGGGCAGGTTGCAGGGGAAATTCTTAGCTGTCAAAACATTCTAAAGTAATCATGTTACCCAGATTATAACACTGTCATTCCCATTCTGCTTCCCTTTGTAGCTATGCTATCATGGTTGTATCTCATTCTTTTTTGCTTTCCTTTCTTCTATTTGATATGTCAACAAGTATTTGCCAAATAATTTTTTGTTCCTTTAAAATTTATTGTAGTTGATGTTTCTGCAGAAACAACTGATGCTGCTGAGAATGATGTATTGAGAGCATTGTCCCAAATAATTGATCCAGACTTTGGAACAGATATTGTCTCGTGTGGCTTTGTGAAAGATTTGTTTGTCAATGAGGCTTTGGGAGAGGTCATTTAGAGCTGTATTCTGAAGGTTCTTGTTAAGTTTCTTAGTGTAGTGCTTGTGCTAAAATATTTTGTCGTATTACAGGTTTCCTTTCGTTTAGAGCTCACAACACCAGCATGTCCAATCAAGGACATGGTAAATGACACAATCACCATTGCTTGATCAAGAACTAGCATATGTTTGAAATGGTAGACTTTTGTTTCATGAACTCATATAAAATTGATTTTTAATAGAAATGCATGGACACAATTCCTTGAAAGTTGGGGAAAAAAAAAACTCTCCAGTGTTTGCTCCTCATTTCTTCTCTTTCCTTTTGTCTACTCTATGCGAAAGATTTCCGCAAAAGGTTAAACATTTTTGCAGTACCAGTTTGCTCAAGCTCATACACAACATTGAAAGAATAAAAACTTTTTCTTTCTTGACAGTTCGAGCAGCAGGCAAATGAGGTGGTGCTGATGCTTCCTTGGGTTAAAAAAGTCAACGTGACAATGTCAGCTCAACCAGCCAGACCTATTTTTGCCGAGCAACTTCCGGCAGGATTACAGACAATTTCAAACATTGTGGCAGTTTCGAGTTGTAAGGTAAATTTCCTGTGAATTCTTGGTTCTTCATGGGATTCAATATGTCACGCTACGTCCTGATGCTATCTCATGTCACTGTCCGCTGATTTCTGTTCATTTTTCTTTTTTAAGAAGTAACTACTTTTGTATATGTTTTTGGTTAATACTGGATAACCCTAATTTGGTATTAAGCTAAAGGGAAAAAAAGTTCTGAAGGTTGTTCTATTCACTTAAGTTTTATTAACTTTTCTTGATCACAGTGGAATTGAATTATTATCTTTCCAGGGAACCTGCTTCCTTCTCATATATATTTTTTCAGAGAAAATTTTCTATATGTACCAAGTTAAATGGTTTTTAAGATATCGAGCAGAGAATGTGGTGCACATAGAAATCAGTTCTTGCAATAAGGAAGCGAAGGATAAAAACAAAAAGGGAAGTGTCTTTTGCTGGTATCAAAACCTGATTGATATATGCTATCCTTTTGTCCTTCGCTCATAACACCTATTTGTTAAAAATTTTGCAGGGAGGTGTTGGAAAATCAACTGTAGCTGTAAATCTTGCATACACTCTCGCTGATATGGGTGCGAGAGTTGGTCTCTTTGATGCTGATGTCTATGGTCCTAGTTTGCCAACTATGGTCTCCCCAGAAAACCGACTACTGGAAATGGTAGTAAATAGTAATTAATTGAACTCTAGTTTAGTTATTTAAAGCACTGCTCTTATGACCTTATAAAACTTCCTATAGAACCCAGAGAAGAGGACAATTTTTCCAACTGAATACTTGGGAGTCAAGTTGGTATCTTTTGGATTTGCTGGGCAAGGTCGTGCAATAATGCGAGGTCCCATGGTTTCTGGGGTCATCAACCAACTCCTTACGACTACAGAATGGTATGGTGTTTCTTGTTATCGATAAAGTTTGTTTTGGTAGAAAAAAGAATTACTCGATTACATCGTTTGATGCGGTTGGTAGTAAATATTCCAGGTTGATTTCCAGAGAGTAATACATTATTGAGAACCTGATTAGTTCTACCATTGCAGGGGAGAGCTGGACTACCTGGTCATCGACATGCCACCAGGAACTGGCGATATTCAGCTCACATTATGCCAGGTTGTCTTCTAATTTCCTCCACCTCTACTAAAATCAACAATTTATTTGATCTATTTCTATATATTTTTCTCCTTTTAGATACATATATTTGCAAATTGCAAATAAGCTCTCTGCTCAAAATTCTACTCTCTATATATTCATGTTTAATATTAAGTAAAATGAGATATGCAGGTGGTGCCATTAACTGCTGCTGTTATTGTTACCACCCCTCAAAAGCTGGCATTCATTGATGTTGCAAAAGGAGTACGCATGTTTTCAACGCTTAAGGTGCTTCTCTCTTCTTAAATATTCCTTGTTAAATTAACATGTTAATATCATAAAACAGATTAAGCTTTATAGACATTTTAGAATATGGATGGAACTTGTCATTTTATATTCAATGGACTAATTATTATGGGGTTCCCTTGTCATTACATATTTTGCTTGTTCATGGTATAGGTTCCGTCCGTTGCTGTAGTTGAGAATATGTGCCACTTTGATGCTGATGGAAAACGTTATTATCCTTTTGGCAGAGGTTCAGGTTCTCAGGTATGCAGGTTGTCCATTTATTAATTTCTTTCATTTGTCCATAGAGTAAATTCTTTTAATGAAGCCAGCAGTGATGATAGCTAGAAAATTGTTTACATTCAAGTATCAAAACAATTGTTTCCCTGATAATTTAGATAATATCTTTTGCAGGTTGTCCAGCAATTTGGTATACCTCATCTGTTTGATCTTCCCATTAGACCAACTGTACGTGTTTTATAAGCATATTCTTATTGGTGATTACCCTGTGAATTCTGCTATGAATGCACAGACTTCTAGTTGTAAATGTGATCGCATCTTTGACATCATAATTGGTCTATATGTCTCTGTTTGATGGCAATTCCAGATTCCCCTTTCCCAAGTTCATCTTCCTTGAGCATGCTTTTTTGTATTTATAAATGCAAATTGATTATTAAGTTCATGTTATAAGAGACACTTGATCAAATAAGATTTGTGCTTTAGAAGTATATTGTTGGAAAATATAATGTGCCCGCCAACCATAAGCAAAGTGAAAATTTGTCACATTTTTATCTCCATAGCTATCTGCTTCTGGAGATAGTGGGATGCCTGAGGTTGTGGCTGATCCTCAAGGTGAAGTTGCCAAAATATTTCAGAACCTTGGCGTGTGTGTTGTACAACAGTGTGCCAAGATTCGCCAACAAGGTACCTCCCCTAATTCTATCTAGTCTTGGGTAACTTGTTTAATGGGGATGATTATGGTTTTGTAATGCTGCATACATTTTTGAATTTGCCTGATTTGAAGTTTTAAGTTTTGTATTTAGCTTTGTATCCCTACAAATCAAAACAAGAGCCTAAGATTTTAAGAAAGCTTTCCCTCTGAACTTGTTTTTTTGTCTAGGAAAAAATCAAACTTCAACATTTTGGAGTTGTGAACCAATTTGGAGATTTTTGAGTATGATAGTTTTTCTTTTAAATTCCAGTTGTTTACAAACTGATTAAAATTAACCTTGTAATTATCCAATACTCCAGTATCAACTGCTGTAACCTATGATAAATCACTCAAGGCAATCAGGGTGAAGGTACCAGATTCAGATGAAGAATTCCTTCTGCATCCTGCTACTGTGAGAAGGAATGATCGCTCTGCACAAAGTGTGGTATATAAGATTTTTTTTCTTCTTTCCTTTCCTAATTACTTCGTAATTTGTGAATTCTCTTGTTGAAACATTCATTATTGTAATAAAATTTCAATGCATATTGATTTTAGGTCCTCATCAAAACCTTCTACTATGTGAACTGAGTAATCTGACACATTTAGTGTGCAAATCTCATTCAGCAACCAAACCTTTGAAGCTGAGTTCTTAGTTGTCAGGTTTCTGTCTGCTAATGGGACAAGGGATGTCAGGGAATCTTATTTTTATTTTCAGCATGTGAAAGGTTGATTTTGTGAAATCAGATAAGATTTTAGAGGAACAGGATAAATGGAGAAAAGAGAATAAAGTAAATGAAAATATATCAGCAAAAGGAATTTATTTGAAACAGTAACACAAACATCTGAGCCAGTATGTTAAATAATCAAAGTTGATTCACTTTTGTAGGATATTGATTTTTCAACCAGGTATTCTCATCATTTAACATAGAAGGATTTTGTCAATAATATGGGAGTCTAGGACAAAACCAGAAGCCTATAAATGTGAATTGCCTATCAAGTAAATGGATTGAGCTAGAGGTAGAACCATGGAAGTTAACATGTATTTTGAGACTTGTACAGGAATATTAATAATGTACCAAATGATGAAAGCAACTGAAACCCGGGCAACTATTAGGTGCTCCAGAAATAGAGATAGCTGGTAGACGCTATAACTATGATTGGTTTATTTCAAATCACTGTACACCAATTATGGAAAAAGATTGAAATGTATAAATTGAAGAGTTTTGTGAATGGAGATTTTGTGAAGAAATTCTCACTTTTTTCTCTTATTAATTTTAGGCACCAAAGGGTGCTATTTATAGAAGAAAAAATCAGACATCTTTTCAGAAATGTGAGGAAGGGTGATAATAGATTTCTGTTATTATCATGCCACCTCATCTTTTAGAAGAATGACATCTTACCTACTAGGAATATTCCACTCTATATAACATAATGGAGAAGAAGAAGTACTTAATTTATTACAATATTTTCTACACTTCCCCTCAATCTAGTTTACATATATATTGAGTAAACTTAGATTGGATACAATATTATCAAATATCTGTTTTGGTAGTGTCTTTGTTAGGATGTTAGCAACTTGTTGATTTAAAGGGTTGTGCATAAGAGCTATGGTTCTATCTTCAATCTCTACTTTGATGAAATGTTGATCTACTTCTACATGCTTAGTCCTGTATGCTGATTGTTGATTGATTGTTATACCACACTTTCATAAAAGTATCAATAGATGTCTTTAATTCTAGTAGTATTCTTCTCATCCATATCCCTTCACAAATTCCATGTGCAAGTGCTCGAAATTCGGATTCTGCTCTGTTAGGGGATACTACAGATTGCTTATTGCTGCGCCATGTGACCAGATTTCCCCACAGAAA